CTGTAAGGGGAACCCAGGTGTATGCATATTCATTACATCACCCCCCCCTGAGCTAAATTTTCCCGTGAAATTTAGCTTCAATATTTTCTCTTTTTAGGGTTTGGACTTAATCAATTGATTTTTTTTCCTAAGTCTTTTTTTGCCTCAATCCTCCTTGTAGTGGTGGCGTTTGACACACTAGTACCTCTGACCTTGAGGTCGGGGATACTTCCACTGGCGAATGTTGACTTACTGGAATGGGAATTTCAAATGCATCATACAGGACTTCCATTGGAATCTCTTTGGTATATTCCGTGACCTCTGTAGTGTGTCTGGGTGTCAATTGATTCCAATGTCTTTTGCACCAAAATTTTTCTCCTTTTATGTCATATATGACCTGTCCAATTCTTTTGGCTATCTTTCCTTCTTCCCAATACATTTTTCCAGCCCTAAAGTTCTTATACGCTTTAGTCATCTAGTTTTCTTTTTTAGCAGTTTTCTTCACTGGACTAGGCAACAGCCTGTTGAACACAGCATATTTTTCTTGCAAACATTAACTCTGCTGGTGATAATCCTGACATCGTATTCAGGTTTGGCGTGATTCTATATACTGCCAAAAATTTCTTAATACTTCTTTCATTCGTGTCCACGCCTTGGTTTTTCTTCAAAGCTCGTTTAAAGGTGTCCATGAATTTTTCCACCTTTCCATTCGATCTTAGATGATATACTGGCGTTGTCACGTGATCACTGGACAATGATGTATGGAATTCCTTGAATTCTCTTACATAAACTGCATTCTATTGTCACTGACTAAATATTTATGGAGTCCAAAGCGACTAAAAATTTCAGAATTTTCTTTTGCAGAGTAATCAGCATTACAACTCTATCTGCGTATAGTAATACCTGTTCACAGATTGAAAAAGGTGACACACTCATTCCTTTTTTTAGTTCTCTCGTTTAACCAGACTTGCTTTTTCATTTTTTTAATGAAATCATCGTTCACCACTGCTTTTTTCACATCTTCTAGCATAACCGGTAGTTCTCTAATAGTGTTGCATAACAGACCCGACAATTCACTTTCGTCGCTTAGCGCCGCTATTACTGTTTCTTCCAGGTATGATAACCCATCGGCGTGACCTAGCTTCTTTGTAGGCACATATTCTATTTTGAAATTATAATTCAATAGAATTACACCCCAATGCTGTTGTTGATTTGCCGTGTGAGTTGGTATACCTTTTTTTGAACCAAATATTGTTAACAGCAGTTTGTGGTGTGTTTGCAGAAGAGAAACCTGTGAAATTATTGCTAAACTCTCTTTTTTAATTTGACTGTAACTTCACTCCGCGAGCAGTAAAGTTTTCGAGGCATGTGCTATTGGCTTCATAGATCTGTCCTTGAATTTATGAAGCAATGCCACACCTAGTCACTCATTACTGGCATTTTCTTCTTCAGGTCGAAATGCGCTAATGATAGGTCTGCTAATAGTGTGACAGAGAGTGTTTGGGAAACACACAAACACCCACACATATATTTTATTTTTTTTATTGAAATTGGAGTAGATTTGAACAGCGAAATTAGATCAGAACAATTTTGTTTACTGAGGGAAACCTGATCTCGCCATTTGGAATTGGGTCATTAGAAAAGACAATGAAAAAATGATCAAAATAACTTTTGTTGGTTAAAATTGAAATAGAGCTTACTCAGGCTATGAGAACTTTGAAACTCACATAGTTTTGGGTTGACAGCGACACTCATGATAATCAGCCAGGCTTATCTATATAAACGCGCACAGAAATCTGTTGACAGAGTGGGTGGCTGGTCTGCCGTCGAGTGCAGTCAAGCTGGAGAGAGATGTCGGAGATTGGGAGTGATATCAGAGAATTGGAACCAAACGCCCACAAACATATTTTGCTGATATAAGTATGAAGAAGTAAATTACTCCTCCAACATCTAAGACTACTACTGCTACTATTATTGCTACCATGAAGATTACTACTACTGCTACTATTATTGCTACCATGAAGATTACTACTACTGCTACTATTATTACTACCACTGGAAATGGAAACGTCGAACAAGCTACAATAATCAAGAGATGCATATCATTCTGAGACGATTACACAACAAGCTAATCACAACTGACTCTATCTGTCTAAAATCCAGTGTATGAGTTTTTACGTCAATTATTTTCTTTTCCCTAACCCATTTCTTTTCTATACTATTCTTTTCTGCTATATAAAAGACATTAACAATTCAACCATTGAATAGTTGTTTGTTCAGCTTACTGCAGATATATATTTTTTTTTTGGTGCATTCTAAATTTCTTAGCACAGACTCTCCAGCCGTGTCTACATCTCCAGTTGACTGTGAATGGATGAACATCACTTCTGCTTTCTGGATCAAACCAAACACAATGTGGACAGGAAGCAGGATTAAACCAGCAGACCGGTCGAATGATCTACGGATGCTCAGGGGACCTACGGTCACTCTCTTAAGTTCGGTTAAGACCGAGTAGATACCTCAACCCAGAGAGTAAGACGTCGGAGGTTGAAGACCTGGGGCAAAAGTGATTAGAATAGACAGTTTTTTATTTTTTTAAAAGCCTGTTCACATTCTTTCGACCATATCCACTTTGCGCCCTTTTTCACCAAATTATTTAAAGGAGCTCTCATATCATACATTTTTGGGATATAAATGCTATAGTAACTTACTAATCCCAAGAAGGCCTGGAGTTTAGCCACATTATCAGGTGCTGGCATATTTTTTATAGCCTCAGCCCTTTCTGGATCTGGTTTTCTTCCTTTACTGTCAATGATCTGCCCTAAATATTTTATCTTCTTTAAGAAGAACTCGCATTTTTCAGCACTCAGCTTGAACCCGTATTCTTCAATTCTCTGAAATATCGCTGTTGGGCCTCGTTTTCACTTTTAATCAAAATATCATCTAAATATGCGATTGTTTGCTACATACCAGCCAACATTGTGTTTATTATTCACTGGAATAAGCTTGGCACTACCTTTAATCCAAAAGGAAGACGATTTAGTTTATAAATCCCTTTATGCGTGTTTATTGTCAGGTACTTCGAACATTCTTCACTGACTTTAACCTGAAGGTAAGCCTCCGACAAGTCCAACTTTGAAAACACTCTACCTCCATTTAATTTAGTGAATATATCCTCCGGAGATGGTAGAGGGTACGCATGGTCTTTCACACAATCATTTAAGCCTGTCGAAAAGTCAGCACACACTCTGATTTTTTGTTTTTTCTTTTTTATATATACAGTTGGAGATGCCCAATCCGAGTAACTGACTTTTGAAATTACACCAATTTTCTCTTGGAGAAAATTGGTGTAATTTCAAAAGTCAATCAGACAAAATTTCTACTTTTTCGCTGAATGTAATTTCTTCTAGCCTCTTTGGGAGGATTAAATTCGTGTATTTTGTATTTTCTTCTGTTCACAACTTCTGCAACAATAGAGTGATTTTTTCCTCGTCGGACCATTGTTTGTATCTTTTTGTAAATATTGTTTCAAACCCATGAAAATAAGCTGGAAATGCTGAACCTCTGTCAGGGTCATATTTAAATTCAGAGAGTGAATTTGAAATTTCTTCAGAAGAAAAAATCTAGAAACCAGTTCTTTTGTTGTCCTAGATAATATGTCTTCCCAAAGTGCTTTATTGTCTTTTGCCTGTTATTTGAATAACTTTTCAAACCTTTCTTGTTGCTGAATAAATTGTTGTTGTTGTTGGAATTGTTGCTGTAAAGTGACTTGTAGCACCTTAGTTAATTCCGCAATTTGTTCCATTCTGCCAACGTATTCACAAGAAAAAAGTTTGCTCCAATTCATATAGACAATAAAATTTTCTATGTCCAAACAAGAGGGGGTGGGGCAATTTCTTACTTTCTGTAAGCATTGCACAAGTTTGTCCTTTTCTAACGTTCCTCATTAATAAGTGTTAAAACAAAAAATGAGGGAAAAGTTACTTACTTTCTGTGTCGAACAAGTCTTTCTAACGTTCTTCATTAGCAAGTGTTGTCAACTATATATTTTTTTTCTTTTGTTTTAACTTGTGAGGTTGTTTTGAATCTCATTGCCAACAGATATGTCCCGGAAAGAGATATATTTGTAGCAAAGTGGTTTTGGACAACTGTAACCGAGTAGGACAATCTAGCAGGTAACTGTAATGGACTGGTCCTTGTCGTAGGGGTAGGCAATAGGCGTAGGCAATAGGCGAAGACAATAAGCATAGCCAATAGGCGTCCTCCCTGTACCTCTGTATTTATGGCTGACATCAGCCAATCATATTACTGTGAGGGAGAACCCAGGTGTATGCATATTCATTACATCAATAATGATCTTAAACACTGGTGAAAGATTGGCTCAAAGGCAAGCTCAACATCTTACCATCAACCACAATGAGACTTGATCTGAATTCAATAGAAAATTAGTGGTAAGAACTTAACATTAGTTTTCATTCAAGAAAACATTAAAATTTAGTAGCTAGAGTTAGAGCAGTTTGCTTTTGAAGAATGGAACTATATACTAAAAGAAATTTGTAGTAGATTAGTTAGTAACTATAGAAAGCATTTACTGTTTACTGCTCAATAACTTTTGAGCAGAAAGGCTCAGTCATTAGCTATTAGTTGAAACCTGGGGATAATTTTATTCTTACCTATTTTTCTTTCTTTTATGTTCATAATGTTACTTTATTTAATGAAAAGTTAAAATTGTGTGAAATTAATTCATGTCCACGATTATATTTTAAATTTTACATATATACAAATGTTTCAATATTTAAAAAATTATTTCAAATGAAACCAATTAAGCATTACTGACAATTTTGTGCTTCACTGTAGTTTCAGAGTATATGTAAATATAAAGGTATAAGTATTTTAAAAGTTTACATGTAATGGTGAATTAAATTTTTTTTTATTCATTATACATTAATAAAAACAACCTTTTACAAATTTGTGTCTGTAATATACAACATTTTCTCAAAAACATTTTCTATTTTTTCTAGAGATCGATGTCGTACTAGCATTAACGTACTAGGAGATTCTTACGGTGCAGGAATAATTGCCAAGCTTTCACAGAATGATCTTGAAGCACTTGATAATCCAGAGCAAAATGGTAAAGCTGCTTGTGTCAATGAAATAATGATCACAGATTCTGAAGATGAAGCAGACACAAATTTATAAAAAAAAAAAAGTGGATAATAAAATCAGAAGCCAGCTGAAAAAAATTGGTCGGAAGATATTTGCATGGACAAATCAAATAACTATTGTTTTTTTATCTTTTTACAACAAATTGTAAACAAAATTAAGGAGTTTAAATCTTCATTTCTTTTTTATACCAACTCATTTTAATGCTTAATAGCTTGTTTATTGTCTAAAGGAAGTCAGTAATATAATTTGAATCATTAAAATACTTTTGGCATTGATTCATACTTTTTAGGTTGATGTTTGAGTTTAATATTTTTCTAAATTGATTCAAGTATTTCAAAGTGGTTTCTCCAAATTATTGCAGTTGAGTTTAATATAATAGTTTATAAAAAATCAATATTATTTAGGTTTTTCCCACAGAAGTAATAAATATTTTTTTACCCTGACTTGGCCAATTTTTCAGAAAGGAAAACAAAAATATTCATGGTCTTAAACTCAAATTACTAAATTTAGATTTTCTTTTGAACCCTATCACAGGCTAGTTATTTTAGAGTTTTAAAAGGTGAAGTGTGGGTGGGATCTTTTTCCATCAACTTTAAAATGCCATAGAATGCTAAAAACTTAAATTGTTTCAAATTTTGCCACATTAATCTTTTACCTTTTACCTTAAATATTCATTTTACCATTTTATCTGTATAAAACAATAGTAAAAATGTGAATGTTTTACAATTCAAGAAAATCATGCTGAATGTACTTTGAAATATTAGTGTACTGAAATTAAAATGTATTTGGAGGCTGTAAGACTATACAGGGTGCGATGGATAAATTGTCGTTTAAATTACACAAAAATGAAAACAAGACTAACATCTCATTTTAACAGATATATTTACCAAAATTACACATAAATATCTTGAAATATGAAAGAGTAAATTTATTTAATAAAATCGCCATTGATTTCAACCATGGCCTCCAGATGACTTTAGAATCTCCTGCAACTCTTTTGGACAGGCTCCTTGTTTAAGTTGATGGATGATTACCATAATCCTTGCCTTCAGTTCATCTTTGGTGTTACATGGAATTTTGTTGGTTTTTTGCTCAACTCTGTCTCACACATAATAATCAAGGTGTGGGGGGGGAGTTGCAGTCTGAGGAGTTAGGTGGCCAGATGTAAGGTATGATGTGGTTGCAGAAATTGTCTAACAGCCATGACTAAATTCTCCTGCTTGTGCAGCATGATACAGAGTCCTGTTGCCAGACATAGTGTATTCCAGCAGCCACCCTCTTGATCCAGGACAGCACTTCCTCCTCAATGTACTTGATGTAGGCCTCCATGTTGAGATTGAGGCTCTAAGCCAACAAATTCGGGAGTTCTGTTCTTATCAGAATGATCAGAGTTTTCTGAGCTGCTGTATCTTTATAATCATCATTAGACTAATTCAACTCTTTCTGAACCCTCTGTACTGTCCTCAACTTGACATCCAAACATTGTGAAATGTTCATATTGGGGCTTCCAGCATGAATGCCAAGATGTACAGCAAGCAGTTTCCAAATTTCTGGTGGAATGAATTGCATCATGGTGTTCTTTTTCCCACAGACGGTGCCCAACTGACCCTACTATACTGTGCAGTCGACAAAATCAAAAACAATGTGCCTGTGCGAAATTAAAAATATAAAATTACAACAGTTTACCCATCACACACTGTATATAATTTTCTAAAATTACAACAATCAGCAAAAATATGATGACATCAGCAATGATGAAACAAAGGGAATATTCACAATATTTACCAATTATGTTTCATGAAAGTACCTTTAGTAAGATAATTTTTTTTTTAATATCAACATCTCAGTCACAAAGAGAGAAAATTGAAAATTGTATGTGGAGAAAAAGACCCCGTTCCTACCTGGGATATGGTTAATACATAATTAGGGAAAGAAATTTTAATTCATCAATAATTATAAGTTTTTATTCATTTAAATTTTACTGTTATATTATCTATACTGGCTCTAAAAAAATTATCTCAATGTCTGTTGAAAGTTTATTTAATTTAAAAAAAAACTAAAAAGTGCATATTTAACTTTGTCAATAAAGATTTTTCAAAGATATTATTTTGGTTTGATATCAACATTTAAAATGTAAAATTTTGATATCAACATTTAAAATGTGAAATTTTGCCTCTCATATTAATGACTGTTTTTTTAAAACCTATTTCAAATCTATTTCAGGAAGTCAAACACCATTAATAGTTAAAAATCAAAAGAAAAATGCAAATAACTTAAGGTACTAAAGAATGCAAAATGTAGATTAGATTAACAATGATTGAAATTTCAAATTGTTTCTAACATTTTTTGCTTCTAATAATTAACCCAATTTTTAATATGGAAAAAGATTTTGCATATACATGAAATAATTTTATTATTTTAGACTATCATCTTTATCTTTTTTTAATTACATTCTTCAGCCATCTTCTCAAATGTGTGTTGATTCTGGTTTTTAGAATTTACCTCATGCTATTTTTATTCATTATTTCACCACTTCAACTAAAATATCAGTTCCTAAAGTCAGAAAACTGAGTATAAAGGTCTAGTTTTAATAATTTTAACATAAGAATAGGCTGAAATTACTTTATTATAGGTTTACAGTGTCAGTAGTTATCATAGTCAGTCCAGAATATGAAGAGACTTTTTTGAATACCAAATATAGTTTTTGATAAAACTCATATGAGCAACTTCTTTTGCCTCTTGGACTTTCCATCATTATTTCATGTCTATTATTTGCATCTTATTCAAGATGCAGTTAATGTGTTTTCTTTCTACACATAGATTACTAAGCTTAAATTATTTAACATTAGATAAATGGTCAAGTAATGGATAGCATCTCAGATTGAGGAATCAGAGAGCCAAGTTCAAATTTCAGTCAAATCCATTACATTCAATTATGTGCTAATACTATTGGGAAAGGTATGAATCCTCTTCTCCATGCTATGGGTAAATAGCAGGACAGACCGGGTTCTATAGCCTTGGATGGAAACTGGTCTACTGCAGAAAGAAATGGCAACCTACTGCAGCAAAAAATCAGCCTTGTCAGTCATGTATGCAAAGATACATGATCGTCTCATGCATGGCACATAACTGAATGGTTTTACAACATTTCTCAAGTCTGACAGAGGGCAACTGGTTTCTTTTAAACATATATGTATCAAATATGAAGATGCCATTCTCCTCCTCAGATGTGCAAACACTAGTTTATAAAAATTTCTTCAGATTTATACTGTTCAGCTAAAATGATAAAAAAAAGACCAATATCAAATATAAAACAAAAGTCCTAAGTGATTTCAAAAAACTGAATGTAATATAAACACATGGAAGTCTGAGGAATATATCAACTAAAATATTGTGTTGAAAACAACAAAGATAAAGACAAAAGTCAAAAATATGTGGAATTAGTTGGAAACATCATTCATTTTGTTAAATGTGGTTAAATTTATTAATACAAACCAAGGGAAAATAGTAAAAGAATTTTGAAATCTAGAAATATATAAAAAAAATGTTTCTGGTCTTTATTGGAAACATTTTAATTTAAAAAACAATAAAATTCATTTTTTTTTTTTTAATTATTGCCAACATATTACAAAATATATTCAGTTATAGATATGTTTTAAAAAATTATCTGATTAGTTTTTAACCTGAAAACTTTCTTGTGCTATGAATAAACATCTCCAGTTAATAATGTTAATCTCAAAATGTATTCAAAACTAAGAATTCATTCTTTTAGTAATACAATAAAACTTTTTAATAAAACAAAATATCTAATGATAACAAATTCTGTCACTAACTCAGTCTCTATTAATAAATGATCATTAAAATTATTTTAAACTAATGACATTCAGGCATTTGTGTAAGTGGAAATAGCTTTTGGTCTCTTTATATATATATTCATTGTTATTTTTCAAAGTAACACAGTAAATGTTATGAGCCTTATACATTTCTTTAGTCAATGTGCTGTACATAAAGTGAAAGGCTATAAAATCAGTGAAAAATTTTAACAAATCATTTTTCACATTTTATACATAAGGCAAGCATTGCCATGAAGCAGCAATATTGTTATAAAACATTTAAACATCAATTATACATTTTCAGCAACTTCAAGAAAACATAAATAAATAGAAAATATAAATAATATAAAATTCAAATTTACAACTAGTTCTGTTTTTTTTTATTGCTATGATTAAAGATGCCAGATCCATTTTGTCTGTGTAATGGGCAATGCCTTGTGAAATTGCAACCTTGATAATGCATCCATATGAGGTATCATATTTCCTTTGACATATTCTATATCAAATCAAAAGCCATTAATATTATTGCCCACCTTATTATTCTTGATGTTATTACTTTGGATAGTTCTTTTCTCAGACTGAATATAAATTCTAATGGTCTCTGATCAAACCTTATTAGAAACATTTTCCCAATTAAGAATTAATAGGCCCTAGTTGTCTAAATAATCGTGAAAGCTTCTTTCTTGATGTTTGAATAATTAAATTCAGCTTTTGTCAATCTTCTTGATAGATACATTATTAGATGTCTTTCTTGGGATAATGTTCAGATATTCAATGCTCACTGGCATCTGTAGTTACTGTAATTTCCTTTTTGAGGTCAAATATTTTTTACTACTGCTTTATTTGCGAGGACTGACTTTAGCTTATCAAAAGTAATTTGCCTTTCTTTTGTCCAGAAAGTCAACATTCTTTTTCTCAGCTTAGTGAATGGTTCATTTAAACCTGTGCAACGTGGTACATATTGCCAATAAAAAATTTACTAATCCCCAAAAAGATTCTAGTTCTTTTTTATTTTAGGTACTGGAACTTTCAGTACTTTTCTGGTAACACCCCTTCTTTTGAAATGGTATATTTCAGGAATGATACTTTGTTACTGTTATAACATGACCAACCCAGCTTGATCCTAGGTTCTTCCCATGCTGGTCAGTATTGTCACTGGTCAACTGATGGTTATCTGCTTTCTGCTTCTTTCCTTCATCT